AACTTGTCCAATTATAAATTAGGATCCATACCGTCTCAACATTAGTTAAAAAAATGTTGACTTTAAATTTGTAATAAATAATAGCAACAATAATAATAATAGTAAATAAACAAGTAAAAATAAATTGCTATGCATGCACGGTTCGTGATATGAAGTGCAACAAATCAAGTACTATCATCTATTCTTTTAACTATCATGCAGATCAAAAAAAGAAAACAAATCATCGGAAATGAAAAAATGAGACAAGGGAAAAGAATGTAGTATTTTTAAACAGAAAGTAATATATGCTAGATACAGATTGACAAAGGAAACACTGAATTTTTAATTCTTTTTCCACACAGAGTTGGACTCTACAATGCTCTTTAAATAGAGATTTATCCTCTAACTCCACTACCTGAAAAATAGCAATAGACCCATGAACAATAACAAACACTCACTAATCCAACTATCCTAAAAACCATGACACCACTTGGCACGATCCTTGCATAAGATGAAACTACATACCACTACTTTGAATAAGTCAAAGACCACTAACTTGGACTCAAACATGAAGTGGACTCACTAAAATAAATCTGGACATGTTTGAATTAGATTCTCAACAAAGAAATGGTTATGAATTATGACACTGATCCAATCTAGAGAGAGCTCTTCTCCTTCCTCTTCCTCTTTCATCGTAGAAACTTTTCTTTCCTTTGACCATGTTCTAAGTACCCAATTATAACTCGAGGGATGTGCGCTATTTTCCAATAATCCCCATCTTGTACTTCTTGATCCAACTTTGAAATCAATTTCTTAGACCTTTTGAAAAGCCCAAATGTTTGGAGGTGGTTAGATGTTCGATGCTTGAGGGGACCCCCTCAACCAATTCATTATTTGTGATAACTAGAGTTTCAAGGTGGGGCATTGCTCCCTCCTCCACTCTCACCCATCTCAATCCTTTTAATTTATAAAGATGTAAAAATTTAAGCCTCGGAAACCCTCTTGCCTTGAAACACAATACCTCACCTTCATATGCCTGATCAAGTACAAGCTCGGCCAAATTGGTAATTCTTGTAAGGATTGCAAAGGATCATCCCTTACCTTGCTCCACCCTAAATGTAAAGTGGCAAGGCCATGGAGAGAAAGTATCCAATGTGGAAACTTTCCAAACGTCCATTCAAGCATAAAACTTGAAGAAATCGAGGAACTGGAGACAAAGATTGCATATCAAGGATCTCATCCTCTTTTGTTGAAATTACATCTAATATGTGAAGATTGCTGAGCTTTGGAATAGAAGAGCACAGAGTCACCCCATCTTCTCTTCTTAGTTGGGTTAGCCTCCCTAGCTCTTTTACTATACTAATCCCACCTCCACTTCTTTGGTCTACCTATATCATGCACAGCTCTTGTAGGGATTGCAAGCTTCCTATCTGAGATGGAGCTTTAAAGCCACGTATATCTCCAAATTCAAAATAAATGCTTCTAGATTTTAAATGATATAATAGATGGCAGAATTTTTGAAGGCGTAGGACTTCATCAAGCAACTCAGACACATAGGTTCCTAATAGATCTAAGGTCTCCAAGTTCTCAAGCTTCCCAATCAACTTTGGGGCCATCTTCACTTTTGTATCCCTCAAGCCTAGGTACCGGAGATGGATCAGTTTAAAAACTTCATCTAGTATAGTCTCCAATGGAGTACCTCCCAAATCTGGCACATTTAGCAGCCTCAAACCATGTCTAAACAACTTACGCAAGGATGCAGTAGGCAATGAATCCATCACCCCCCACACAAACAGAGAACGAAGTCGAGAAGAATGCTTGCTATATTCTACATTATCTGAGATGCTTTGGGTCAATAGGTGACAGACCTTCTCTGGCCACCTTGAGTCCCATCTGCAAACTGTTGTTACAATGCTTTGCTCTCTTGCCTTTGAAAGAATAATTTCACACGAGGTCATGAATATGGAAATTAGATGGCCTTCCATTTGGATCTCTCTTTGCCACTTGAATCATGCTCCTATTGAATAGCTTATGGAGGTAGCCATTTGCTACTTCTTCTATTGTCTTCCCCACAATAGCATTCACAAATCCTTCTGATGTTCAAAGTCGAATCAGTCTACTACACTCTATCTGTTGATCCTTCAAGAAAATGCTCTAGTACAAGAAACAAATCTTCAGATAATAAGGTAGATCATTGTAACTGAGAGAGAGTGCTTTTTTCATACTCTCTAGTTTGTCATTGCCCTCTAATTCAGCACCAAGGCTGTAATAAAGCATTTCTTTCGTCTATTTCCTTTTTAGCCAAAACACCACTTATCGCTACAATTGCAAGTGGCAATCCCTCGCATCTTTTTAAGATTCGAAGAGAAATTTGCTTCAAGTGTGGAGGGCATAAGTTCCCCCGAAAAGTCTTGTTGCAAAATAGTGTCCAAGACTCCTTTGAGGACAAAGGCATCAAGATATAAACATTACCATCAGTTTGTTCACAACAGGTTGAAGCAATATGGGCAAAATGAGTTGTTAGAATGACACGGCTACCGCAATTGTTGTCAGGCAGCACATATTTGATAGCCTCCCAAGCATTAACATTCCAAACATCATCAAAAACAACCATGTACCTCTTTTGTTGCAGAAAATCATTAACCAGACATATCAACCTGTTGATCCTCATAGTTTCAACTCCAACAGGGATTGGTTGCATGATTTCTTTAAAGAGTTGTTGAATCATGTCCTTCAGGAGATCCTCAACCCTGAATGACTCGGAAATAGTGAGCTAAGCATGGCTGTTAATATTTTTCTTCACCGTTGCATCATCGTAGACTTTTTAATTAGAGTTATTTTGCCTAAGCCTCCCATTCCCACCACAGAAATTGCTTTCATCCCTGGACCTCCCTCAACTAGCCACCCAATCAGTTGTCTTTTGGGTTTTTCGATACCCACTATCTTTGCCTCTTTGTGTAGAAGTGAATCGCCACGATAGTCATATCATGCATTGTTTACAACAAAGGACCCTGAGCCTTGCTCTAATATACCATATATATATCAAGATATTTCTGATGTCCTTGGGAAATACTGTTGACCTATGAAGCACGGACACCTCTACGAGGGCCGAGTATGAGTGTCGGACACGTGTTGGACACGGACATGCGCTGGACACATGTCCAGCACATTGCAGAAGCTGTCTTTTTTTTTTTTTTTTTGCAGCCGAACACGTAAGGGACACGTTTGGGACACCGTGGGGTGAAAATCATAATTTATGAAACTTCAAGCGGGGGTCAATGTGTAAAAAAACAAAAATTAAAGCAATGAAATCAATTTCTGACCTAGATCCCGAACAGAGAGAAGAGAAGAGACTGAGAGAAAGGCTCATTGGTGGTCGGTGATCGCTCATCACTGGTTAGTCGTCGGTCGTCACTCGTTGGCGGTCTGCCGTTGCCGGTCGCTGGTTGTTGCTCTTGCTATTATCGAAGGTACAACTTCGATTCTCTTCTTTGTTTGAATCTTCTTCGATCTTCTTCTTCTTCTTCTTCATTTGATCTTCTTCCATCTTCTTTTTCTTCTTCGATCTTCTCTCTGTCGCTCTCTCTCTTTCTTCTGTCCTGCTCTTTGACTTTTCTTTTCTTTTTCCTTTTTTTTTCTTTATATGCTGATTGTAACACCTCTCTCTCTGTCTCTCTTCTATTTTGCTTTGTTCTTTGATTTTTTTTTTTTGGAATTCTCTCTCTACCTCTGTGGATAATTATATATATATATATATATATATTTTTGGGTTGATTAGTTTTGTTAATTTTAATGATGTGTTATTAATTTTATTACCTTCAATGATTTTTTTTAATAATTGTCATATAATAAATAAATTTAATTATATATATTGAATGTGTCCCTAACGTGTCGTGTCCCCTATTTTTTGAAAATTTGCGTGTCCACATGTCCATGTCGTGTCACGTGTCCGTGTCCGTGCTTCATACCTGTTGACCCTGGACTTGATTCTTTGTACTTCAAAAGCAATTTGGTGGCGAGCTTTTAAAGTCTTGATGGAGCTCCAGATCTTACGAACAAAACCACGGAATCCATCACCATGATGATTTGCGAGGTGAAGCTTGAATTTGTCAAGAACATCTTCAGTGTCAAGAGCAGCATCACGGACTTGTTTGACCCAAACTTTGAGTCCGGGGTCACTTTCTTCCTTAGCATCAGCAACTCTGAGAAAAGCCGACATGCGCTGGAATTCATCTATGATGTCTTCCATCTCTTGCTGAACTCCACTCAACAAATTCACCTCTTCTTGGAGGAAGAGTGCAATGTTGGCTAGTAAATGGAACACTGCAGTTTCGGCCATTTCATGTTTTGAGTGTTTCTTTGCAGTAGGCTTTTGTGTTGTTTGAAGGGATAATTAATAGGAAATGGTGATCTAAACTGGGAAATTACAATGCTCCAAGTCAACTGTGGTTTCAGTGATCTGTGTGGCTGTGTAGTATTAACTTCATGCATATGCTATAAAATATGTTTTTTTTCCTATTTCACAGCAAGCAAATTGCTTGTGCACATTTCTTTAATGGCAACTGTAGGACTCTTAAGTCTTTGTTTTTGCATAACAATGTTTTGTTTTTCATGGAAGTTATTGGGAAGTGTGAATGCTACATGTGAGGTAGGTGGTTTAAGTGATTCCATTGTCCTGTTTGGTGCAGGCTTACTTATAAGTAACAATAATGCTAGACCAGCATGAATTCTTGCAACGTTGTATTTATCACCTTGTTAATACTTATTGGTTTAATAGGTCTTAACATTTATTGGGTCATACTAACTATGTTTGTTACCAATCCATTGTTGACACATAAGGTGGTAAATAGGTATGGCAATGGGGTGGGCCTGAATTGAGCAATATAAATAGGCCGTGGCTAATTTTTTTTTATCTCTTAAGTCATATCTTACTGGACATATTAACTTTGTTAAATAAGATCCAGAAAATAGTTAACTTTTATAATTGACATTATTGCTTAATATGTGCCTCTATGTTGCAGGATACGCCAACTACTGTTTTTTAATGTCAGCTACCATGGAACAAGAAATGCTTGGTTCACATATCTCAGCCGTAGAAAGTTGCACAAAACACTCATATGGGTATGGTTCCTGCAATTGTCTGGTCTCATTCATGTAAGTGTTCTGTACCACTTTCTGCAGCATTGTTACCTCTGCCACCAGTCACCACCATTGGCCCTCACGGTGATTAGAGCACGCAACAAAAAGCATATTGCTGTTCTTTCAATACCCATTTTGATTAGGTCTGCCTTTGGGACTCATTTCGCTGCCCTAACCATTACAAGCCATAGAGAGAGAGAGAGAGGCGCAACAAAAAAAGAACAACCCTCCCGTGAGTCACTCTCACCCGTCTCTTATATTTACTTACTTTTGTTATTGTTAGTCCTCTGTTGTGTTATGTCCTTGTTCTTGCATCAATACCTCTTGGATTTCTTTAGTTTCTTAGAATTTGGGTTTGTAAATTTGTAATGAAAATGGAAACCCATATGATATTTCCTAAGGCTGTGTTTGGTTCACGGATTTGGGGAGGATTTGGAAAAGGAAAGGGGAAAGTTAGGTGAAATGTGAATCAAATATGATTACATTTCACCAACGTTTCACACATTTTTCCTTTCCCTTTTCAAATTCTCCCCCAAATCCATGAACCAAACACAGCCTAAAGAATTTGTCTGTGATTTGTGTGGGTGAGAGGTGTGGTTAGAGATAGTCTAGGAAGATGGCGGGCACTTCAATGGATTGAGATCACCGGAGGTGGAGAGGAGGCCAAGGCAAGCTTTAGAGAGGGAGAGGTTGGCAGTAATGGACCTTGAACACTAATGTAGAATGTGAGAGGGAATATGTAAGTGTGAGACTTAGTGTGTTAGAATTGCGTGGTGGAGTGAAATTTCTTGCTGCATATATGATACGTTATATAGGCCACAAGAGTATTGGAGCCCAAGCAAACTGTTGAACAGGTGGCTCGTTCTCCTTAACTCTGCCAGAAGTGATATAAGCCCTTCTGACGTCTGTGGCTTGACGGTAGGCGGAGAGCAACGTTTCATGGCAGGTGGAAAGTAACGTTTCGTATATGCATCGGATGACATGAATGTAAGGTCGTTGTTGCCTCTTCTCCAAGCCTGGTCGAGATGGAGTTGTCTTAGCAAGAAGACAACCATCTCGACGATCCCATGACCTCAATTGCCAGTCCAATATCCTCTAATGATCCCGAGTAGTAATGCCTGGGTCTTGCTCCCAACCCAGGAAACCAAGTAGGTGAATGGGCCAAGGCCCACCTTAGTGTTTAGGAGAGCCACGGCTCGCTTCCAGGCGACCAAGTAGGAGAATGGGCCGCATGCCTATCTCAATGTTTAGGAGAGCCAGTGTTTATCAGTCCAAGTCCAAGTGAACTGGGGGCTGATTATATTGTTGTTTGGTTTTGGAGTGAGGTATGAAGGACCATGGGTCCTGCAGGGCCATGGTGCCGCCTGTTGCAGGGCTCTTCATATTTAGATATATTTGGGCTTGTATGTATGCTCCCGCTTAGGCTAAGCATATAGTCTTGGTTTTGCGTGGTACCTTGGCACGCGGCGCCCGTAGGGCTCGCCATGTATCAAACATGTGATATGCCCACGTGGTGCCTTATTGGTTTGCCACGTGGGCGGGGTTTTGGTGATGTGGCACTCGTAGGGCTTGCCACGTATTGGGCTTGATACAAGTACCTACAATTTGGAATGTGGGCAAATAACGACTTCTTGTCGCTGTTAATGGATGGAAATCCCTTGAAGAAAACAAAAAAATTTAAACAAACAAATTAGGATCACCTGTCAAACTTTCTTGAGCCAAACCAAACTAAGCTTTGTCCCACTCAAGTGGGATCGGCTATATGAAAATATGTTGAGATTAAATAAAATAAAAAATTCTTTTTACTACCACTTCACATGTTAGTTTGGGTCTTTTCTTCCGCCAATATTTTTATTTATGGCATTCATATCACTCTTCCTTACCATTGCATGTGTAAGTATTTGTTATACATAAGCAAACCATCTTAGCATTCTCTCAGTAACTTATCTTCAATTGGTATTATTTTTACCATCTTTGTTACAATGAGTTGCACATTCAAAGATTGCATAGAGGGTGTTGGTATATTAGTGGGAACAATAACTTGATTGATATTGTAGGCCTAGTGGCTGAGAATTCAAATTCGTTGAGTTCAAACCGTAGGAAACCTCTCAAAAGTAAGTTGAGGAGACAAATTGTTAGAAAAGTTTGAATTTAGTTGCAAATGCTCTCAATTAGAATAATTAGAGGTTTTGACTAGAGTCATAATTGCAAATGATAACTATTTGCCATTTTTACTGAGATATGTATTGTGGGAAAGGAAGCACGGATACAGATACGGGATACGGATACGATACGATACGGATACGGCGATACGGAAAAATTTGAAAAACTAGGATACAGGTACGGCGGGGATACGTTCGTAAAAAATATTATTTTTACAATTTTTAGTAATGTAGTATGCATAAAAATAAAACCTATAACAAAAGACAACTTGATAAAGAAGAAAGATTCCTCTAAAACTCAGAGTCTTCAAAGTCAATAGCTTCAACTTGTTCCCCTTCATCAGTGAATATCACAAGACCTTAGCTAAAGCCAAAAACCATTATTAAACAAAAATTTCAGCAAATATACTTTTTTAAGTCATCAATGATAACCTAGGAAGCACGGATACGGATATGGTGATATGGATATGGCGATATGTCAAAATTTGAAAAAGCATTATACGGGTACGGCGGGAATACGCTCGTAAAAATAAATATTTTTATAATTTTAATAATGTAATATGCATGAAAATAAAACTTAAAGTAATAAATAAAGAGAGAGATTCCTATTTACCTAAAAGTCTTCAAACATTCATAAAACATCCAAAACTAAAAGCAAAAGCAAATGCAAATTAAACATCATCCGTACATGTCAACAACAAAAAAAGAATGAGAGCAAAGAAAGAAACGTGAGAGAGTGAGAAAGCGAGAGAGAAGTGAGAGAGACAATAAGGATACATCAATTTGACAAATTCTATTACTTTAACTCTTACTATATTCCTCTTATCAAAGAACTAAACAAAATATTATAAGTAATATGTAACTTCGAGTATCTGATACTTCAAAATTAAGGCCTCGTTTGGGAACAGGCTAATTTAGTAACTTTTTGGTTATTTGGCTAAAATATGAGCTAAAAAAAACTAGTATGTTTGGGATGACTTTTTGGCTTTTTACGAAAAGATGTGCAAAAAGTAGAGAGAAAAGAGAATCTTTGACTTTTTGGTATGGATTGTTGGCTTTTTGGCTAATTTAGTAACTTTTTGGCTTTTTGGCTAAAAAAGATGGTTCCCAAACGAGGACTAAGTATCCGATACTTCAAAATTAATTAAGAAGTATCCGATACGTATCCGCAAGTATCTAAGGAGTATTGGTATCTGATAAGTATCCGATACGGATACGTCTCCCTTTTTGAAGTATCCGTGCTTCATAGTGGGAAAGTTACAAATGCAGAAAATGAAAATTCATTTGCAAATTTGAAGTGTATCAAATTAACAACTCAGGAAAAAGAAGATTGACAAACAAAGGAATACAAGGAATCAGAAAATGAAGAATTCGAACATGGTAGAAACTCTTTTTAATCCAATCCATATGGATGTACAGGAAAATACAATTTCTCTCTTTCGCCTTACGTATCAGTCCCTTTGTTCATTACTTTTGTGTCATCAATCCAAACTTCAGGGATGTGAGCTATTCTCTCGTAATCCCCACCTTGTAGGTCTTTATTCAACTTGGAAACCAATACATCAGACATATCAAATAAGTCAAGCAATGTAAGGTTGTTTAGTCGTTCAACGCCAAAGGGCAACTCCTCCATCAATTTGCAATTTCGAATATAAAGCTCTTCAAGATGAGGCATCGCATCGTCCTCCACTATCACCTGCTTCAATCCTTTTAATCTAATAAGCAATAAAATCTTAAGCCTCTGGAACCCACCAGCCTTGAAACACAATCCCTCCCCTTCATATGCCTGAACAAGATCAAGATAAACTAGATTGGGTAAACCTTGAAGACATTGCAAGGGATCAGCATCCCTTAACTTGCTCCACCATAAACATACTGTCACTAGGCTGTGAAGAGAAGACGTCCAATGCGGTAACTTCTCTAAACGACCTTTCAGGAATAGTGTCTGAAGAAGTCGAGGAGGTGAAGATAGAGATTCTAGATCAATGATCTCGTATTCATCTATTGCAGTAACGTACAACGCGTAAAGGTTGTTTAGCTTCTCAAGGGATGGGCATAGCACCCTCCCATCTTCACCTCTTAGCTTCACAATGCCTAATGTCCTCAGTTGTGTCAGTTTCCCTATCTCTCTTGATACAATGCCGCCACTGCCATGGTTTGCTTCAATTGAACTGAGTTTTTGCAAGGATGACAAACGTCCTATTTTAATTGGGGATTTGAATCCGCATTCATTATCAAAAGAATAATAATTGAGTTTTTCTTCATATTGATACACCAAGAGATGGCGCAATTTTTGGAGATTTAGGATCTCACCAGGCAACTCAGTAACGTAGGTGTGTCTAAGGTCCAAGGTTTCCAGGTTCTTGAGCTTTCCTATTGACGTTGGAATTATTTTTACCTTGGTTCCCCTTAAACTCAGATATTTGAGATGTTGTAGTTTGACAATTTCATTAGGGAAAATGTCCAATGAGGCCTCACTCAAATCCAACACGTTCAGAAGTTTTAAACGTCTTAATGATGCAAGCTTGGACAGCTTGCTTGGTGAATATGTTGCACTAAACAGGAGCAAAGAACGTAGCCGAGTGAAACGCTTGCTTTGTTGTAAATGTTCTAAATTATTTTGGATTGACAGGCGTCGGACCCTTTCGGGCCACGTCGTGCCTTGATCATTGACTATTGTTACAATGTTGTGCTCTCTCGACTTGAAGACAATAATTTCACGCCAAAGGTCATGGATGCGATATAATTTAACCCTTCCACCTTTTATCTTCGCCACTTGAATCAAGCTTCTATTGATGAGCTCATTGAGGTAGCCCTCGGCGACTTCTTCAGCTTGTACTCCTTGTACTTCTACAAATCCTTCTGCTATCCATAACCGAATTAATCTCCAATGGTCAATTAGATGGTCCTTTGGAAAAACACTCAAGTACAGAAAACAAAGCTTTAGACAGTAAGGCAAATCAATGTAACTGAGTGACAATATTTTCTTCATGCTCGAGAGTTTATTATTTCCTTCTAGTTCAGCACCAAGGCTGCGATAGATCTTCTCCCACTCTGCTATGCTGCTTTT